TTGGTACATTCTAAATTGTATTCTACTTTAAAAGTGGACCCTGACTGGGCAAAAAAGAAAGGGTTATTATATTTTATTCATAATAATATTGAATGTCCTCTCTGGCTGCACTAAGGGAATTTTCCTAAAAACAATTTTAAACTAATTTTCATTTGGGCTACACTAATGCAATGCCAGTGCAGGCAGACGGTTCCATGGTCAGTGTGTTTTCAGGGCGTCTGATAACAGACGAGTTCATTTCCCTGTGTCATATTTGGAGAAGGGAGAAAAGTCTCTTCTGAGTTCTTCAGCTGTGCAGAGAGCTGATCACTTAAGTGTATCTATTTGTTTCTCAATCAACAAAATCTTCACAATTAGTTGTGTAGGAGATTTTTCCTTCTAATTGGAAACAGGATTTGTGTGGGAGGCTCCAAAGGAATGCATGAATATGCATCTGGGAAACTGATTCTCAGCCGCAGGGCTGGACAAAATGGTTGATTAAATTATTCCTGGGCGGCAAGAAAGATTTGATGATAGCCAGGGGCTCCCGGCCAAGTGAGAGGCAGGAAACCTGCGGGGAAGAAAGACGGAGTGAGCTACCTGAGAAATTACAGGCTGTAGGTGTTAAAACACAGCTCATTAGCCCAGGGCCAGAAATCATCCTCTGGAAATGAGGTTGGCTGTATTTAAGTTATGTATATTTTTCTCTAGTTACTTCCATTTACTTTGCTCTCACTGTTTAGTGAAGATATTTTGGAAATGTCAGCACATGTCAGCTCTGCTAAATGGAACCAAAGAAAAGAACTTTGCATTTAGGCCAGAATTCCTGGGAGTCAGGTGTGGATGAGTCAAGGGATTTAAAATGAGAAAACCTGAGGAAAACCTCGGGGAGCCCGACCCCGCACCTTTCCCTCGCCTTGCATTTATTCCTGGACCTCTTCTTTAATAAAAGTGTGTCGGGGATGGCATATTGTTGTACTCATCCATATGCATTTCATTTTTAGATGTCAAAGGCACACCTTTCTAGAATGAAACTTATCTCCATCTGCTTAAATTGTAAATTAGATTTGGAAAAAAATAGAATCTATGTTTTATGAATTACTTTTAGCAATTTCCTCTCTGGATCCCATGTAAAAGAATTTGACTACCTCTGTTGATTAATATCTTCAAAACAAATTTAAAAGCAATATCTTTTTTGGAAGTTGACATATAAAGAGTGGTTTGGATATTTTTATAGTTCTATAATGATGGAATAGAGTTTACTAATAGCATACACAGACTGAGAGGTTTTATACCTGTAAGGCAACTGTTTTAGCTAATTTTACTTCCCAGGCAATACTGAAGGTGACAAGGTGAACTTAAGTGTAGACCAGGTGAGGGAACCAGTGCTCTAGGCCCTGTGTTTTAAAGGTCCTTTCTGGCCCTTCTCTAGCCATACACCTCCCTTTAGGAAAGAGATGTGCAGGTGGCATGCCCACCCAGAGCCTTTGTCCCTCCTCTAACTGCACTCTGAATACCTCAGACCCTGCTGCTAAGAGGCAGCTGTTCGAGAAAGTGTAAACAAGCTTATTTGTGGGGGGCTGGATTACCTCCACATGTGAGTGTGAACACCCCCTTGCAGGATGGGTTAGAGCTGGAAGTGGGGAAAGAAGAGACACACAACACAGACTAGATCCAGGGTCATCTCCAAGTCATCAGTTAGACCTGACAGGGTCTGGCCAAGTCATCAGTTAGACCTAGAAGGAGTTAAAAAATTCTGGATTCCTTTTAAGTCATTTATGAAGAAACAATTGTCAAGGTAAAAAGGTTAGAACAATTATTTATTTGACTAAAAACTTCTAAATGGCTGGGCAGGGCGGCTCACACCTTGTAACCCCAGCCCTCCAAGGTGGGCCAAGGTGTGTAGATTGCCTGAGCCACAGCACTCTACTGAGGTGACAAAGTGAGACTCTATCTCAAAAGAACAAAAAAGTCAATTCAAAGTGACTTAAAGACTTATACGTAAGACCTGAAACTGTAAAACTGCTAGAAGAAAACATTGGAGGAAAGGTCCCTGACATTGATTTGGGCAATGATTTTTAAGTATGTACCCTAAAAAATGTAAATCAAAACTACAATCAGATACTATCTCACATCTGTAGGAATGGCTATTATGAAACAAATAAAAGATAAAATAATATTGTTGAGGATGTAAAGAAAAGGGAATTCTTTTAACTCTTTTTTTTTTTTTTTTTTTTTGTGAGACAGAGTCTTACACTGTCACCCTCAGTAGAGTGCTGTAGCATCACAGCTCAAAGCAACCTCAAACTCTTGGGCTTAAACCATTCTCTTACCTCAACCTCCCAAGTAGCTGAGAGTACAGTCATCCTCCACAATACCAGCTAAGAAAAGGGAACTCTTGTGCACTGTTGGTGGGAATGTAAATTAGTATAGCCATTATGGAAAACAATATGGAGATTTCTCAAAAATTTAAAAATAGAACTACCGTATGATTCAGGAATCCTATGAGTACTACTGGATATATGTCCAAAGGAAATGAAATCAGTGTGTTAAAGAGACCGATATCTGTACTCCCTTGTTTACTATGGCACTATTCACAATAGCTGAGATATGTAATCCACCGAAGTGTCCATCAAGGGGTAAATGGATAATGAAAATGTTGAGTGAATACATAATGGAATATTATTCAGCCTTAAAAAGAAGGAAATCCTATCATTTGTGACAACATGGATGTAACTGGAGGATGTTATGTTAGACGCAATAAGCCAGGCACAGTAAGATAAATACCACATGGTTTCACTTACACATAGATTCTAAAAAAGTTGAATTCATAAAAGTAGAGAGTGGTTACCAGGGGCTGTTGAGGGGGAACTGGGGAGATGCTGGTCAAAGATAACTAAATTTCATTTATATGAGAGGAATGAGTTCAATAGATCTATTGTATTACATGAAACAATGCATTATATTCTTGGAAATTGCTAAAAGAGTAGTTTTAAGTGTTCTCACCATGAAAAATAAGCATGTAAGGTAAAGCATGTTAAATAGCTTGGCTTAGTGATTCTCCAATATATACATATTTCAAAATAACATGTACACATAGGTATATACAATTTTTATTTGTCAACTAAAACCAAATTTAAGAAATGATTAATGGAAGTAACATAGTATGTATTAATCACCCACTATATTCCATGCAAGAGTTTAGACAAAGAGTTGACCTCATGAAACTTATAATCTAGTAAAGGTATAAGGGCAGTCTAATACTACCAGTAAGAAATGCTAAATGTAGGGAGCGCAGGAAGCAGTTCTGTGGGAATTAGTGGTTGTATTCACACCTGGCGGGGATCAGAAAAAGTTTCATGAAGATTATGACATTTGTGTTTCATCTTCAAGGAAGGATGGGCTTTTGGAAGGCAGAGATAATCCACCGAACATCTGTCCAGAGCCTTCCATATGTGAGGTACTCTATGTGTTACTATAACCATTCTCAAACAGTATTACTAGGTTTTGGAAGTTTTTTACAACTCTTTTATAAAGGAAAAAACTGATGCTTAGAAAAAAGTTAAGAAACATGTTCAAAGTCCAGCAATTGGGAAAGGTTGGTGCTAGGTTTAGACTCTGGGTCTTTTGAAGAGCTTTCACCTCCCTTGTCTGTAAGAAGGCTGGGTTCTTGCTCCCAACCTTGTGATATGTATGCCCAAACATTTCACTTTTCTATGTGGACTAATCCTACATTTGAGTGAAAGTGTATGTGTGTTTTATAAAAGCTCAGAGATTTCAGCACTGTTGTTTGCTGGGAAGACAATGCTATCAGCATGTGCAATAATCACTCTCAGATGTCAGAATCTCTGCCAGTGGTCAACATTCCTGATAGCTGCAGGCAGAGGGCCCTATATTTTTTCTCCATGACCTCGCCAACAAGTGAATAGTACAATGAAAAGAAATCTCAAAATAATCATGCAAACTCTTATCAGCATGATCCAAGCCATCAGAAAGAAAATACAATTGGTTG